CTTTTGGGTAGGCCTCCCGGTCGGCGACCGGACTGTCCTCCCGGCCCGTTGTTTTCTAGACTTTTGGGCCGGCCCATGGACGGCATGCTACTTTCCTGGGTCGAGCCCTGACGTAGAAGCCGGTCCCCGTGGGACCCCGGGTTTATGAACCCGACACCACCAGTTCTTCGTGCACCTAGGAGAGGAGTTCCTTTCAAGTTATATATTGCTGCCGAAGAGAAGGTAATCGGGGCTGTTTTGATTCAAGAAGACGAAGGTAAAGAATATGTGATTACTTATCTTGGTCGCCGTCTTTTTGATCCCGAGACAAGGTATGCCCATATAGAAAAATTATGCTTATCACTATACTATGCTTGTGCTAAGATGAGACATTATCTTTTGTCTAGTACATGTGTTGTTGCTTGCCAGGCCGATGTGATAAAGCACATGTTATATCGGCCAATTCTTCGTGGAAAGATAGGCAAATGGGCATACACACTAATAGAATATGACTTGACTTTTGAACCATTGAAAACATTAAGAGGTCAAGTTCTTGCTGATTTTATTGTTGAGCATGGTATTGATTTAGATGATGAAGTCAATTACCTTACTTTTATTCCATGGAAATTATACTTTGATGGATCAGTTTGTAAAGATGGCCAAGGTGTTGGTATTATTCTTATTTCTCCTAATGGTGCTGAAATTGGAATGTCAAGCCGATTAGATTTCTCTTGTACCAACAATCAAACCGAATATGAAGCTCTATTATTCGGGTTGATCATGTTGCGGTCTATGGAAGTAAAACATGTTGAAGCTTATGGTGATTCTTTGCTGGTAGTACAGCAAGTTGCTGGTGAATTTCAATGTTTAGAAGGATCACTGAGAGCTTGTCTTGATGCTTGCCTTGATGTTATTGATTATTTTGCCGAATTTCAAATTCGGCATATTCCGAGGCATGAAAATCAAAAGGCCAACATGTTAGCTCAGCAAGCATCTGGCTATGATGTTAGTGGACATAATTTTCATATTCAAGAACAGCCGATGTATGAAGATTTTAATTTTTCCTGTGTAGGTACAGACCAGTCGGCTAAGCCGACTGACCAAGTTGGCTCAGCCGACCACTCTTCTGCTGTGGCCAAGTCGGCTAAAACGACTGCCCTAGTTGGCCAAGCCGACACCTCCAAATCGGCTATGCCTACCGGCCCAGTTGGTTCAGCCGACTCCCCAGTGACCAGCCCAGTCAATTCGCCTGAGAAGCTATCAAATCGGCCCGATATAACTTCCAGTGATGTTGGGGCCAATTTAGAAGATTGGAGGACTCCCTTGTTGAGATATCTACGTGATCCAAGTGCCAAAATTGATAAAAGTGTTCGGCGGAGCGCTTTCAAATATGTATTGCATAATAATGAGCTCTATCGAAGAATCGCCGAAGATTTGATGCTTAAGTGCTTGGGATCAGATCAGGCAAGAGTGGCTATGGGAGAAGTCCATGACGGCATCTGTGGTACGCATCAATCGGCCCCGAAGATGAAGTGGTTATTGCGTAGAGCCGGTTTCTATTGGCCTACTATGATGGCTGATTGTTTTCGCTACTATAAAGGTTGCGAAGAGTGCCAGAAGTTTGGAAATATTCAGCTTGTGCCTACTGCTGTGCTTCGTCCTATCATCAAACCATGGCCTTTTCGTGGTTGGGGGTTAGACTTCATTGGCCAAATATATCCCCCATCTTCGAAGGGACACCGATTTATGTTAGTTGCTACAGATTACTTTACTAAGTGGACCGAGGGAGTTCCTTTGAAAAATATGACACACAAGGAAGTAATTGAGTTTATTACTGAGCATATTATTCATAGATTCGACATCCCTCAAACATTAACTACAGATCAAGGGACATCGTTTGTGTCTAAAGAGGTGAGAAAATTTGCCGAGTTATATAAGATCAAGTTGCTCAATTCATCTCCATACTATGCTCAAGCCAATGGCCAAGCTGAGTCCAGTAATAAGACTTTGATCAAGCTCATCAAAAAGAAAATTGAGGAGAATCCAAGGAGATGGCATGAAGTTTTGTCTGAGGCTCTATGGGCACATCGCATTTCAAGACATGGTGCTACAAAGGTTACTCCTTTTGAGTTAGTATATGGCCAAGAGGCCGTATTGCCTGTCGAAGTAAATTTGGATGCATACATGTTTGCTAAACAAAATAATTTATCAGTTGTTGTGTATCATGATTTGATGATGGATAATATCGATGAGGTGACTGATGTGAGATTAAAAGCTCTCAAGGAAATAGAGAAAGATAAAACTCGAGTTGCCAAAGCATACAACAAGAAAGTCAGGAGCAAATCCTTCTAAGTGGGAGAATTGGTGTGGAAAACCATACTATCAATTGGATCGAAGAGCAATCAGTTTGGCAAGTGGTCACCGAATTGGGAAGGTCCGTACAAAGTAGTCAAAGTTATATTCGGAAATTCATATGTGCTAGAGATATTGCAAGGTGAACGTCTCATGAGAGCATTCAACGGGAGGTACTTGAAAAGGTATTTTCCAAGTGTTTGGCAAAAAGTTTAAGTGCTCACCAAACAATAGCCGATACATGTATCGCCCTTAGAAAAATGGCCGATGTATACATCGCCCTTAGCCACTGAGCAGCCGATGAGATGGGAATCGTCGCTGTTTGGTTTTAATTTATTTGATTAAGTGTTTTCAGGTTTATGCATCATTCACTTGAAAACCAGGGGCATATGTTGACAACCAAAAATGTTTATTTTTGTGAAGTTGTCAAAATGTGAAACGGACTTCACCATTACGTTCCTCTCGTCGAGACGGTCAAAAAACATATATGAAATGTCTAATTCGAAGTCCGGATGAAGAAGTTATGCCCTCGAAAAGATGCCTCGTTGTCGGGAGTTCCGACCCAAGTCGGGACTTCCGACTGTCGGAAGTTCCGACGTGTGTCGGGACATCCGGAAAGTCTGAAGAAATCCGCCCGGGTGTCTGGGGTTATCCCTACGTCAGAAGTTCCGACTGTCAGGAGTTCCGACCCAAGTCGGGACTTCCGACATACCTGACAGAAAATCCTGTTCGGATCTGGCCTTTTGGATTCCGATCCGAACTGTTTCAAACTTGTGGGAAACTTGGAAAATAAGGTTTGGAGAGGTTTTCTATTGGGATAAGACCACCCCCTCTATATATATGAGAGGATCATGGCCGATTGAATTACCATCTATCCAATCGTCGTACAGACCAATCTATCAACTCCTTATGCCATAATTCCTCTCTCTCAACCCCTCTTGCTGTTCGTTGAGTTTCCCGGCGAGATTCAGCGGCATCCTAGGCGGCCTTGCTGGTCCTAGGAGATCATTCACGTGCTCCTCCCTGACGGGTCTTCCCGGGAGAAGTTCGGGAGCTTTTCCGGCCAAGAACAAGCTCTACATCGGTCTCACCGATCTTTAGATTGGTTTGATCGATTACGCCGCGTTCTTGCTGCGTTGCAGGTTATGTGCAACCTCTTTGGACGTCAAGGCCCTGCTGATATGTTGGTTTGGGGTCATCCTCAACGTCAACAGTGGGGAGTACTAAGTAGTAATTTCAGGGACGGGAGAAATTACGGGGAAGGAAAGGAATAATGAGATACTACTACTGCCTGCCTGGCCCTGCATGTCTTTGAGAGGAAGGAAGCTACTGATCGATGGAATGAAGCGTTGCCAAAACCATACCGTGATCTTTGGTTCCCATCCACAACCGGCCGGATCATCAATAAATTAATTAATTAATTGGAAAGGCGTAAAAGCATTGCGACCGACTCTTGGGTGGTAGTGACATTGCAGTTTTGGATCCGATCCCACGCGATTAATTTTGACGCGTACTACCAAAAGTCTCAATCCCCCAAGCAACAACACTCAACTCCACTCCACCGTCGGTCACCATGCATTGCATGCAAGCGCTTTGTTTGCTTGCCGGGAGCCTTCTCAGCATCCCAGCCTTGTTGGCACCTTCTCCTTGTTCCCACCCCTGCTCTCCTCTGGACCTCTGCTCTGACCTCTGAACTCTTCTTCGATCAGTCTCTCACTCACTCAGCTCGCTGCACGTATGGCGCGCCAGCAGGGTTGGAGGTTGGAGCCAGTCAAGCGTAGGCCGGAAACCGGCCAACCGCACTTCCCAGTCGTGATCCGAGCGGAATGGTGGCTTAACATGGAAAGATCTAGCCTATATTAAGCTAGTCCATAAAAAGGCAGGTTGACAGCCATCGCCATGGTGGAGGAGAGTGGCGACATCTTCAATCAAAAAATCCAAACTTACTAGGATTATTGCTCCTAATTCTTGTATTGACAGTAGGAGCCAACTAAAATTCATCACAGAGCTGGTTGGTCAAAAATATATATATATAATATATAACACAGCTGGTTCATAAAGTAGTGTGCGTGTACAAATGATCTGTATATATGGTTGGAAATAAATACTTAATTGTTGACTATAACTGATCTTTGTGTCATGCATACAAGACAAGGAATTGGACCACAAGATACATTTCATATCCTTCATACGACCAACATTAATTTATGCAATGTACTCAACATTTATACTTTTTTTCTTTCGATATCTTTTTCTTAGTTCTTCCATTCTTTTTCCTAGCAGAATACCAAGTATTTAAGGAGAATTTCCTGGGCCTGTCAGTCTGTCACTTCATATTTTGCTCTCTTTTTTTCTTGACAAAATGCAATATATTTCTCTTGTCCATCCTCTTAAAATTAATGTTTCTGGTATTCCAAAGATATATGTGCTCTCAAAATTGCAATAACCAAAGGATACGAGGAGCCCCACAAAAACACAAAAGATATAGGAGGAAATCAAAAGGCCATAAATGTGGGGGAAGCTTGGCAGTTACGCTATATTCTAACTCCCCCACGGCGGCAGGGGGGCGGCAGGGCAGTTCTCTCTCTCGCTCGCTCGTCTCCTCCAAAACCTCGTATTTTTAGCTCTCCCAAGCTCTCTCTCATCAAGCTCTCCACCAAGCTCTCGCCATGGCCAAGAACACATGCAAGCTATGCTCCCGCCGCTTCGCCAGCCCCCGCGCCCTCGCCGGCCACATGCGCGCCCACTCCATCGCCGCCGGTAAGTCGCAGATCTCCTCGGCGTCGTCGGCTTCGACCTCCATCGCGGCCGGCGGCGGCATCGACGACGACGCCGCCGACGCAAAGAAGCGCAGCCCCATCCAGGGGCCGCACGCGCTGCGGGAGAAGAACCCCAAGCGCCGCGTCCGCCTCGACGACGACTCCGACTTCTCGGATCGCGAGAGCGAGACGACGAACTACTACTCCCCGTCGCCGGACGCCAAGCGCTCGTACGCCGGATCGGGAGACGCGGAGCCGGTGAGCTCGGTCTCCGACGCCGCCACGCCGGAGGAGGACGTCGCGCTGTCTCTAATGATGCTCTCCCGCGACTCCTGGCCCGCGCCGCCGCCGCCGTACCCGTACCCGTACCGCCTCGACTCCGACGACGACGAGAGCGACGCCCGCCCCGTGGTGGTCGCCGCCGCCGCCGCGGCAGCGCAGAAGCGGACGCGGTACGAGTGCCCCGCGTGCAAGAAGGTGTTCCGATCGTACCAGGCCCTCGGGGGCCACCGGGCCAGCAACGTGCGCGGCGGCAGGGGCGGCTGCTGCGCGCCCCCGCTCAGCACTCAGCCGCCTCCCGCCCCGGCCCCGCTGCAGCCATTGCCAGAATGCGAGGGCAGAGAGGAGGACTCCAAGGCGCAGCAGCCGCACGAGTGCCCCTACTGCTTCCGCGTGTTCCCGTCCGGGCAAGCTCTCGGCGGCCACAAGCTGTCTCACCTCTGCTCGACGGCGGCGGCGGCAGCAGCAGCAGCAGCCGCCTTCACATCAGGCGCTGATCCTTCGATCGCAATGAAGACCCTGGGTTTCATTGATCTGAACCTCCCCGCGCCCTTCGACGACGTGGAGGTCTCCGCCGTGTCAGATCCCTTCCTCTCGTCCAAGCCAGCAGGTTCTTGAAAGCTAGCAGAGCAAGCAAGCCGGCCGCTCGCCTTTCGGCTGATTCCAGTGGAGACGATTCGAGGGAAGGATCATCAGAGACAGAAAGAAAAGACTTACTGATTAACGAAGCAGTAAGGAAGGTAGAGAAACTTATGATAAAAAAAATGGAGACATCTTTGCTTGGGTTGGGAGGTTCGTTTTTTTCTTAGTATAATATTTGTTCGTTTGCATTGATTCAGTCAGCTACAATATCTCTGTAGTCCGCCATTTCGTTCTGTCTTTTTGTTTGTTTCAAGCCATGGAACAGAGTAGATCGGGGCAGCTAACAGAGCTAGCTAGTTCTTGAATTCTCATCTGAATCAAGAAAATCCAAAAAAGAAGAAAAACTCTAGCTGAAGCGTTGCTTTCTGTTGCAGTCTCCAGCTGTGCTCGTTCCAACTGTCCATAGCAGGGAGCTTGGCAAAGCCACCAAGGCAATCGCAGTCATTAGCCGGTAGCCAAAAAACACCAGCATCGAACTGGCGATACCAATGCAGGATCGGCCTGGCGTTCATGTTTAGTTTGTTGCAGAAAATGAAACTCCGCCGCTCTGCTTGCTCTCTTGTTCTCACTCTCCTTTTGCTTCGGCCGCATTGCTGTTGCCTGCCTGCTGGAGTGCTGGATGCTGCCGCCGCCCACCACCACGGCACCACCTGCATCTGCCGATGCATCCTTCCCTCTCCTGCTTGCTGCCACTGCCAGGACCAGCAGCAGCAGCGAAAAGGCTAGGCATGAACAGTTGCGCACTGTGCCCAGGCCCTTGCTCTCCGTCCCTTGCTCTCGCTGCGCGGTGGCCCCCTCCCCCACGCTGCCCGGCACGAGCATAATGCATCCCAACAGATTGTCCGTCGCAGCAGCTAATGCAGTTTTGAATGAGTAATATAGGTGTATAAATACGCCATATACGGATCTAGATATACCTCGGATATCACTGTAGGTGCGGCTACGAGTACTATACGAGATTGTTGGTTGGTTGGTTGGTTCGATGCGATCTGTCCGACGAGTTGGTTAGAGGCTTTCGATTTTACAGGCACTGCTCCTGCTAGACTCCACGTTCGGCGGGAGCGCCGGGAGGTGGTTATATGCATGGCCCACCACTCACGTCCACGTGGCACCCGTCTCTCTCAAGCCCAAGCCATGAGCTATCAAACCGTCGTTATCATCCCTTCTCTTCTCTTCTTCTCTCTTCTCTCCCCTCCCTCCTACTCCTACGACGCTTGGTTTGCATCGGCTGGTCTCAGGTCACTACAGTCAGTGGTCAGAGTAACGTCGGTTGTTGATTCTGGGATAAACGCGTGGTTAAAAGAGAATGGGGGGTTATTAATAATAATTAATAAATAAATGGGCCTGGGCTGTTACCGTACCTGGAGCGCGGAGCCCGAGGCGGATCTCGCGGGTGAATTCGGTTGGTCCACGGCTCAGCTGGGGGGAACCGGCTATGACACGTGGGCCCTCCCTTGCCCCCGCCTACTACGGTGTGCACTTCTGTGTGCCGGTAGCATGTTGGACCGGAGGCGGAAAGCCGCTTGGGGTGGGGACGGGAGACGGCCCCGGAACGCCCACGTGGCGGTGGCGCAAGAGATCACGGATGGACGGCTGGGATTTATTCACGGGTAGAGCCCTGGCCGAACCTGTTTCCGATGGATGGATTCCTGCCCTTATAGTTGTCCAGGCGGCCTTGGCACACTGGGCCGGCACTGGCCCGGTCCGAAAAGCACGGGCCAGGCTCGTGTCTGGCACAGCCTGGCGTCGTACCCGTGCCTAGGCCTCCACAGCGGCCCGTAGTGTCGGCCCGGGCACGACACGGTTTTTGGGCCTAGCACAATGCAATCCGATTATTTTAGATAGTTGGATTTTCTCTGGATAAATCACAAACGTTGGATCACAAAACCTAACTATCTTCCCACACCTCTGAGTTTCCTGTCCACACCGCCGCTCCCTCCGACTCATTCACGCACTCGCTCTCCCTCACGCGCTTTGCTCCGAGCCCGCCGCTCCCGTTTCCCCACTCCCTCCAGTGGCTTCTCCTCGCCGCCTCCTTCACTACAGCGGCTTTGCGGCGAGACGCGGAGGCCACGCGGCTCGCCTGCCGCAGCGTGGTGGTAGCGGCGAGCGCGTAGCGGCGGGATTTACAGCGGCGGCGAGCGCGTGGCAACGACAATGGCAACGGCGCCGCGTTGAGCGGAGGCCGCATGGGGCTCGCGGTGGTGCCCCACCTCTCTCTTGCCGCGTCGGAGGCTGGTCGCCGGGCAGGCCACCACCGCTTCCCCCTCGCTCGGCTCTCCCCGTTGTCGTCGCTCGCAGTGACGGCATCCTCCTCTCATACGGCAACGCGGGTCCGTGGGAACAGCAACGACGACGCGATGGCGCGACGACGGCAACGACGAGGTCGCTCCTCACGTGGAGCTGCAGTGCTCGGACCAGCACGGGCACGGCGGGCTGCCGTGCTCGACGGCATGGCTAACCGGTAATAGAGTCGTGTCTGAGCCGAGGTCTCGGCACAGCGACACTATCAAGCATGGCACAGCTGAGTTACCGTGTCGCATCGTGACGTGCCTTGTCGTGCCGTGCCGTGCCTGACCCTGACCGTGCCCGTGCCAATGCCGCGCCGGACGGCCCGGTTGGCCAAGTATACCTGCCCTGCCCGGTGAGAATCGTTTGTTGATCCATCGATCGGTCTCCTGCTTACACGTTTCTTGATGGATTTTATTATCTTGGCAAAAGTGGTAGTCCTACTAGAACAGTTTCCCTGAGCTTCACTAGTGACCAGCTTCACTAGTGACAAGTAGTACGGAGTATGCTCTCAAATGGAACCAAAAGAGGCACCGAAAAGTATGCTCACTAGTATTTCTAAAAAAAAAGTGTATGCTCACTAGTACTAATGACAATAAACATACTCCGTACAACGCGAGCTGTAGTGCAGCAACAGCACAAGCATAGCATTATCATCTGGCTTTAACTTTTGCTGTTGTCGGGGTCACTCAACGAGTGAACGCGAGACTGACAGGTTCGGCTTTATTAAAACCGGCTGATAAATCGGCTGAACCTGTTTTGTTATGAGAGAAAAATATTGTAAATTCTAACTGATAAACCGGCTAATAGTTGAAGCGAACATGCCCACCTCGGCGAGAGCCGAGAGGTCGAGCTTGAAAGTTGAACCGAGCCTCACGCCGCGGCCGTCCCATCTGGGTAGAAAATTCCCGCTCGGCTGTCTGCTCGCTTTGGACCAGTCTTGGCATCGTACTGGCCGTCTACAGCTGCCGCAGAAAATTACGGGTACCGGTAGCCTTTGTCCTGTGGCCCTGTGCCGCTAGCAGGAGCGTACGCATATACGTAGGCTAGCGTAATCTCATTTTCACTTGACAGTTGCAACGACATCTACTGGTTACTGTGACGCTTTGTAGATATCGCCGTATGGTATTGGTATTGTTCGCACAGCCACAGGCAGGCAGATAAGATTATAGGTTTACAGCGACGGTCCATTAGCCCGATGATCGACGCAGCTGCCGGGGACTATTCTTCGCACCTGATCGAGCAGCAGGTAACGGCGACCGGCGAGTGGCAACAGTTTGGCTGGTAGCGTCGACGTGGGCGCAGTGCTGGTGAGTGACGAGTGACGCCACCACGGGCCACGGCGACGCGACCACCGCAAACTGGGGTCGCTTTCTTGGCACAGTGAGTGCGTGCTTTGCGTAGGTTAACCGCCGTCCGTTTGCGATTAACTCTCCTCCGTCTTCACCTACAGGCTACAGGCTATACAGGCCACAGCGAAACCTCTTCGTTCGGGCGCCGCTCGTGCACTGTTCTTCGCCATTGTATGCGGTTCTACAGCGCTGAGAAGGAGGACACCAACTCCTGCACTGTATACCCACAATCGCGTGACGGCATGAGCAATCATGGACTTGTCTTCTGAAAAGCCGAGGTGTGCTGTGTGCATGTATACGAGATGAGTACATTGATGGGGGTTTCTCCGTGGAGCACACGGGGGCAGGGACAGGGGCAGCTGCCGCCGCGCGCCGTTCGCATACAGGCAAGGAGTGAAGGGGCGCATGGTACCCTGTCATGCGTTTGCTGTCTCGCAATTAGAACGGCATCGGCAATCGGTGTGGCGTATTGGCACGGCGCGCCAACAGCACCTTCCTCTGCTTTTGCCCCAGCTCTCTCGCTCATCTTTTCTTTTCTTTTTTCTCTGCCCGGGCTTTTACTCGATTGATTTGATGGAGCCAATCCTGATTCCAGGGTCCGGACACGGAGCAAGCAAGCAAGCAATCAAGCAACGGTTGGTTTGTTTACCACGACAATGACAGGGTAATTTTGTTTCTGCCTGAGACATTGCCATGTCTCTGCCAGAGTAATAACCCCGCTGCAAGTTTGTAAGTTCCGGCCTGCGCCAAGGAGGCTTTGCTGTCGCTTTGCGAAGAGACATTTGGAGATATCTGTCATGTTCGCTTGGCTGATAAGCCATGGCTGAAAATATTGATTACTGATTTGTTGTGAGAGAAAAATATTATTCGTTGGCTGAAAAGTACTGGCTTATAAGCCAAGCGAATAGGGCGATCATCATCTCTTCAGTAATGTAACAGAAACTACCTTCCTTCGTCAGCGAAAAGGAAAACACCATACGATGCTGCAAACACGGCGTACTTTCTTGTTCGTCCCTTACGTTGTTGCTCATCAGCTCATGTACCCTTTTATGCGTGCTGCCACAGCATCATGAGTGTGCCCGGTCACGAGAGTTTAGTTGGCGCAGGGGCAGGCCTCTGGACTGTTGTTGAGGTGAGGGTGAGGGGCTACTGTTAGTAGGGCTCGATGGCACGCTCCGACGGTAGGATTCTTGCTTGCTTCTGCAGCCAAGATGGTTCCTTCACCCTCCCCTCTCATGATCAGCCGGGGCCTATTTTTATTGCCGTCACAGTCACACCCACGAGAGGGAAAAAGATGAGCTAAAAATTTGCATTTGTGGACCTTTTGTTTGAAAAAAAAACAAAATACAAAAGTCCAAGGCGGATGGCAATTTGTGGGGCGAGAGAAACCTTGGGTCGTAAGGCATCATGTATATGCCACATCACGTGGCATCAGAATAAACATTTTTCTTAAAAAAAACTTGGCTTGGATAATCTCATTTTAGTCTCCTGTTGCTATAAGTAAGAAGCATCTCAGCTTGGACTGAACTGTACTTAGCAAAGCAGATGCAATAGCTCTCATTTCAAATGTATGCTTAGCTTCTCACAAGTCAGAACTCCTCCTTTGTAAAAGTTTTTTTTACTTAGGTAAAGTATCAGTGTATCACTGTACTGGTGTGGTACGAGGCAGCAGATTCTGGCACAAAGGGAGAAAACATCAATGGGGGCGATAGTGCTTTCGTCCATTTGCAGCTGGTAAAACATGAAGAAAAAGAAACATGGATGCCTCTTTTCTCAAGTTGGTACTGACCGACCGGTAAGGCTGTGACCGGTAAGGCTGTGACCTAGGACCTAGCCTGCATGCGGTACCGCATGACCAACGAAGTGGTAGATATGCATGTCATGAAGCTACATGGAGAATCGGTTAATATTGTTAGTTTCTTTTTTTTTTTACAATACCAGTAAGGGGCTTCGTCTTTTCAGTTTCATTACCACTGCGTACCAAATAAGATGGATTGATGCAAGATAGAGAAGGTAAAACAGATTAATGATGTAACATTGTACCTTTTTTGCTATGGAAGTAAATTGGAGTAATCTGGTTAGAGGGTAGTGAAAAACCTCTTGGCCAAATATGACAGTAAGACAAGAATAGCCTTAAAATGGTGGAATATGGCACAGGCATATGAGCTCATTTGGTCCACACTAATACAGAAACAAAACTGGCACCATGCTTAAAAGAGATATAGCTTCTGAATGCACCATCCCACGAAAACAGGAAGCATCTCCGTGAACGAAGAGCTGGAAAGGGAAGCTGGGGAAGAAAGACAGAGAGAATCATTTCCGTTGAAATCAGTCTTGTTTGTTTTTCGCTTGTCCATTAGCCTCGGTTCTACTGACCCTTTCAGTTCACCCCGTCTGCATGAACTGACTCGGTGACCAGCTCATGTAGGAGCGCTACTGCACTGGTTCTTTGCCGTATCCCAATGTAGTGTGTCTGTACTTTGGCATCGGCAGTGAGCATCAAAAGCGGCATGTCAAGAAACGAATGCATGTGCCTCTACATCACCTCCATGGCATCCTTGGTCCCCTGATCTGATCATCCCTTGTTCATAAACCAGCTAGAGACGAGACGAACGTGTGAGAACGGCCATGCAGCAGTGTTTCAGGTTGCAAACTAAAGTCTGAGCAGGAAAGAGCGGTTTGTGCACTGTAGTGCACTGCACAGGATATCATGTACTAGTACACTAGTACTGGACTACCTACTAATCTTACGTACAAGCATGAAAGCAAGGAGTGGTACTCTTAATTCTGAAGCCTACTAGATGCCTTTGTACAGCTGCTTTGGTTTGGTTTCACTTTCAGTGACGCGAAAAGTGAAACGCAGGGCGTTCAGTGGTGAAAGAGACTCTAGCTCGAGTGCAGTGCAGCCAAGTTAGTCGCCATTCGCGTTGATGTCTTACAACTCAAGCTGCGTAACTGATGAGTAACTGGCAATTGCGGGTTGTGAATCATGTGGGGGGAGGGAGACGCCGTGATCTGTACAGACGACGCGACGCGGCGACGGCGAGGGAAGCCCAAGCCATTAATTTCTCGCATCTGATCCGATGGTCGTACTCGTACGCCGGCGGCCCGCCGTGAGCGTGAGGTCTCGGTCGCGGCTGCGCGCGTGCTTCGGGTGGCGGCTGCATGTGTGCACGGTCCGTACGAAGTGGACGGCTGCTGGCGCCTGGCGGGCTGCTCTCTCAGCGGTGCGCCGGTGCGGGCTCGCAGCCTGCAGGTGCGGCGCGCCCTTTTAGTTGCAAGGGCGTTTACTTCGGCCCAGAGCCTCTCTGTTTGAGCCCAGAGGTGAGCATGCGCGGGCCCATGATAAAGCAAGCCTGGTTGTCCGGCCACTAGAGCCTCCCTCGTGGGCTCGTGGCCCAAAGCCTGCGATACGACTATACGAGAATCCCTCCTCCGCGCACCAGTCCACCACACCGTTCGCCCGTTCCCCATCTCTTTCCCCACCCACCGCCGAGCCGATCTCCGACCACCGCTGTGCCATGTCTTCCGCCGCCGCGCTCCTCCTCCGCCCCACGTCTGCCACGACACACCCGCTCCTCCACCAATCCAGCCCCAAATCATACTTCCTCCGCCTACACCCGTCCCGCCGCCGCCTGCCCGTCCCGCGCCTGTCCCTCACGCCCACCACCGCCAGCAACAGCAATAGCAACAGCTCTCCTCCCCCACCGTCCCCTTCGGCCCCTTCGCCCGCCCCCGCGGCCCCGCCTTCCCTTTTCTCCAACTGGTCCCCGCCGCGCGCGATCTGGCGGGGGCTCTCGGCGCTGCTCCTCGCTGGCCAGGTCTTCCACCGCGTCCTCACGGGCCGCGTGCACCGCCGCAACCTCCTGGCCCAGCTTCGCCGGGTGGGGCCCGGGAGCGCGGGGGTCGCGCTCCTCACCGCGGCCTTCGTGGGCATGGCCTTCACCATCCAGTTCGTGCGCGAGTTCACCCGCCTCGGCCTCCACCGGTCCGTCGGCGGCGTCCTCGCCCTCGCACTCGCGCGCGAGCTCTCGCCGGTCGTCACGGCCGTCGTCGCCGCCGGCCGCGTCGGCTCCGCGTTCGCCGCCGAGCTCGGCACCATGCAGGTGTCGGAGCAGACCGACACCTTGCGCGTCCTCGGCGCCCACCCCATCGACTACCTCGTGGTCCCTCGCGTGCTCGCCTGCGTGCTTGCGCTCCCGGTCTTGACACTGATCAGCTTCGCGCTCGGCCTCGCGTCCTCGGCGTTCCTGGCCGATTCTGTCTTTGGCGTTAGCGTCAGCATCATTTTGGAGTCGGCGCGCAGGGCGCTGCGGCCATGGGACTTGATCAGCTCCTTGCTGAAATCTCAAGTGTTTGGTGCCATTATCGCGGTGGTGAGCTGTGCCTGGGGAGTAACAACCCATGGAGGAGCCAAGGGCGTTGGCGAGTCTACAACATCTGCCGTGGTTGTTTCCTTGGTTGGAATCTTCGTTGCAGACTTTGCTCTCTCGTGCCTGTTCTTCCAGGGTGCTGGTGATTCGCTCAAGTATGCAATGGGTTGAGGTGGGTCGTTGCAGAGGAAATTTTTGCTTTCTAGGAGATAGCATATCATAGTCTTGTACATTAACAAGAATGGTGCACTGGATTCCAATAGGTGAATATTGCAACATCTGCCGCCGTCCAGGTGGACATGTATCATTTTTTTTCCCTTGATACCTACGAGAAATCATTTAGAGTGTTCTACCTTTGTTGTACTAAACTGTTGCTCAATTACTTGCCAGTGATTCATGTATTACCTTATTCATAAAGCTATTGGTCGAATTGAATCAGTGTAACATATGATGCTAATATAAGTACAAAGAAAATGTTGGTACAATCTGCTTAGACAGCAATGTGTAAATATAAATTGCTTGAGAGGTCTGCTGCTTTCAGATTCAGAAAACAACATTGAAATCATATTGTTTATTGCAATTGCAACATATACACAAGGGAAGCTCATATTCTCCTATTTTAATAATATTGCTTTCCTACAAGTGCACATAATCTTGCATCTTCAGCTTTCAGCGTCTGTGGATGAACAAAATTGCAATAGTTTGTTAGAAACTCTAGAAAATACGGTAGCAGAAAAAGCTTGTTAGTGCAACATCCTAGATGATTAGATACTTCATCTTGAGCCTTTGTTCGTTTGGGCCGGGAACAGTCGGGGTCGGCGCCCAACCCCATGGATCATCCCAGCCTGGAATGGATCACCCCATCGTCAGCAAGATAATGAGCGTTCAGTTAAGCTCGGCGTGGTTACATGGATCACCCCATGGTCAGCAAGATAACGAGTGTTCAGTTAAGCTCGGCGTGGGTTGTAACCCGGCCTACCCCGACCTTTTCCCCTCACCCCGGCCTGGGAATGAAGCCCGGTCTCCAGTGGTGTGGGTGAAATCCTCGTTGCACGGGGAGAGGCTGCGGAGGCGAGCGCCTGGGTGATGGTACGCAGTGGCGGCGACGCGGTGGTAGGGTGGCGGCAGGGCAACGTAGACGCGACAGAGCGACGGCGACCTGGCTCTCGCGTCCAGCGTCCACTCCTTTTGGAAGCCACCTCCTTGCAGTTAACCGCATCGTGCTCTTCATCGTTTCCATAGGGTTTTCTTGCAGTTCTTGATTTGTATCTTGTCCTTGTATCGTGTGCACGCCGACGGCCTCCATGGACTATACTCCCTCTCCCCTTTCACCAGTGCTTCCTGGTTCGGTGTAGATCTAATGACTGGTGGAAGCAGTAATAGGTGCTGTCGCCCTGACCATGTCGGCATGTCGTACGCATGCTTATTCATGCTTGCTATTTTCATTGGATTGAAGTGTGGAGAGGAGAGAAGAGGTGGAGAGGAGTGGTCTTGCTCGTGCAGTGGTGCTGCGGAACCTGTGTAGACTACTGTTGATGTTCACATTGACAACAGATTCAGAGGCTCCTCCTCCTTGCTTCTCTGCATTTTTTTTTCTTAGATAGATGCTCTGTAATTTATTTTTTTGATGTTACTCTAATTTTGGCGGTGCAGAACTAGCAATGAATATTATTCAAATTTCGAAATGAGTTGCGATCTTCTTGGCTCTAACAATTTGAGAGACATGATAGCGCAAGAAATGTGGAATGATTACCAACTGCATTGAACTTAATGAAATGGCTTAGTAGGTGTCGCACCTGCACATTTTCCATCTCGGCTATCCTGTTTTGGTCCAACTTAATATGAAATGGCCATGTACCTCTAGTGTTCCATTGTTCCATGATTTGATAAGTGTTTTGGTTGCAACCTAGTTTTGGTCAGTGAGATTATGATGCAAATACTTTGATGCTAACATACTTTGGAAGTTATTTATCCATTGAAGAAATTTTGACCAGAAGTTTTGGTGAATTTTCTTCACATTGCTATGGTATTAGTACAAGTGTTGCCTGTCGGTATTAGTTTAAACTTTAAATTAAAAGAGACCTCTGATATGAAAGAAGCTGATAGCTTTTCTTTATTCTTATCTGTATTTATATGTACCTCAACTTTATACCTCTTGGATCTTAACAAATATTTACAAGGGAGCTTTACCTCTGTAGATGAAAAACAAGTTTGTGAGCTGATCTCTGTTATTTTAACATAGTGCACCATGTGATGATTTGTGATAGTCTACAGCTAGCTGGTGATTACAATCCAGAACTCCTTTCCTTACCTGTGTGCAGAGATGTAGAAGCCCCCAAGCCTCAACCCACCCGAGATCATCTTCCTCTGCAGCTATGAGAATTGTGGCACGACCTTTCTTGCTGTCAGCGCGCCCCGCAAGCATGCTCATGTGCACAACGAGAACAGTATACCTGCAATGAGCCCAACTGTTGGAAGGTATTTCTGCCTGGAACTAGCATCATTTCCACACATACTTTTTGTTTGTTATTGCAATATGAACTTGAGCCTTAGTGTACTTATCTGCACTCAAACACAAAACATCTCAAGATGTTCTTGTTTATTTATATGCCGTCTGTACCTGGCCAATCTTTTATCCTGAGTTCCTGAATATGCCCCCCCCCCTAAAAAATCTCCCGATTGATTCAGATAATATGTTTTCTTGGTAACATTGCCTTGGCTGCATAGCACATTGGCAATGTTGCATTGGTAAAGCTCTCAGTATTTTAAGATGCATCGCTGTGGCTGAGGATTATCCACAATGATTGTAGCATTACTCATGAACCAACTCATGATTATTTCCATTTTCTACTACTACATGTACACTTGAAAATTAGCAACAATGTCCATTATATTATAGGTTCATTTATTATTGCCTCACATTCTTTTTTATTGCAACCTACTTTGGTTTATCGTGAAGGGCGGGCCTGGTGCAAGCGGTAGAGTCTTACCGCCTGTGACCGGAAGGTCCCGGGTTTGAGTCGTGGTCTCCTCGCATTGCACAGGCGAGAGTAAGACTTGCCACTGACACCCTTCCCCAGACCCCGCACAGAGCGGAAGCTCTCTGCACTGGGTACGCCTTTTACTTTGGTTTATCGTGCATATTCATTCATTTGTCTCATGGTGTTACAGGGTACGTAGGAGAAAGCAATCGGGTCAGAGAAAGAGGAAGTCAATTCACATCCTGCCAGTTGAGGCATCTTTAGGCTTGATGTTGGTAGCACTTGAAGGCAACATGCCTGTTGATACATATTCTGTGCTGTTCCAGCATATCTGATCATTGCTGGATGTTAATTTTGTCGATTTGTGTTTTTTTTTTGGCCTGCATGAAATCTGTGTTTAATTCGAACAAAGAAGGATCATGTGTATCGAGAATCGTATGACTGGCATGTTTGATTTTCTGGAGAGATATGGTGATATGTTTTGTGTTTAAACTTGTGGAGCAATCACAGGGTTTCAATCCCTGCATTAACCGAACACATGGTTTCAAAGAGAGGGATTAAACTCCCGAAGGCCTTGTTTGGATGCATGTGTATCCACTCAATTCCACTCCAATTCACTTTAACACATGTGGATTGAGATAAATACATGCGCATTCAAATAAGACCAAAGGGATTGAATGATCCCTCCCACGATAAGATACCCTTGGGGATTTGACCCCTATCAACCGAACAAAAGCCTCAGGATGGTGACTTGTATGAGTGGAATTCCTGCTGTGCGTGCCCTTTGTTGGCATCCCAGATGCTTCGGGTTAATTTTTGGCTATTCATTGCATCATCGGCACATGTCTCTGGAACGTTGAATTGGACTCTTTCACCATGGTAGACCTCAATTTTTTTTTTTGTCATGCATGCAAGATATGTACTGCTCGCTGTGACCTGATAAACAAGTATGCAAATTATCTCGTGAAGCGAGTTTGTAACCAAAAAAAAAATTGTTGTCTCTGGGTAACAAAGATAATCAGTATGGGCGCGGCCAGTGTAGACTGTTAACCCGTTGGTTGACACCATCGTCATATCTTTTTTGTGTGTTCACGAACTTTGACCTATTGCGTTGAAAGATGAAAATATTCTCACTTTCTGGGTACAACTGTAGCAAATAGCATACATTAAGAAGCATCATGGCTTGTTTTACTTTATATCCAAGAAATAATTGAAGAGAGATATCAAAACGTTCTGTTCTGTTTCGCAACATCAAGTTAATCGAGGAGAAGCTTCAAAGAACCTTTGTGTTCGCATTGCTGAGACAGCTTGAACATTATACATCTCTCAGTCGTTCTCTTATTTATTTATTTATACGTATCGCGTACATTTTACACTGTACTATTTTAGGTACAAAATTTAGCGGAACGAATTGAACCATATACACCACCATGACAGCGTACAAGAGATATCGCGAAATTAAAGCAGTGAGTAGAACTTTGCTTTCTTCTTGCTTGCTTCTTATTTTCTGTTACTACATACTCTGGTAGCCGTTTAGGCAACCTTGCACGAGAAGACTTCCTTGGCTCTTGCTGATAACTCCGGGAATACCCGAGTTGGACGAAAGTCCTTGTTGAGGCAAACGACGGTCGCCCTGCCTTCCAATACGAGCTGCCAAGTATAGGAACAGTGAGTGTGAGATGTATATATGATGCATCGCTAACATCCTAACATATGTAACACACGCCTGCACTTGATGCGTACCTTACGATCCGGCAGGGCCTCGATCTTGTGCTCCACAATCATCCGCACGCCTTTGATTTGGACAGGCTTCACCTTGACCACGAACCTGTCGCCGCTCTGACGATAATTAATGAATGATAAACAATATAATTTCTGTGAGATTTTCCTTGCATAGTTGCATGTGGGATTATATTTGCCATGCATGTGTTTCACACAGCTAGCAGAGATAGATGTGTACCCTCAAGGGCGCGAAATACTTGAGGTTGAGCTCAAAAAGAGCCATGGCTTTGCCCGTGGATGTCCAGTAGTCCACGCTGATGCCCAGCTTCTCAAGCAGCACGTCACGACCTGACACGCGTACCGGCTCAGGCGCTCAGCCAGACAATTGATACTCGCAGATATATGCATGCATGCTGTGCCATGCGTCTAGCTAGCTAACCAATAATAAACGATGTGCATGCTCACCGCTATGGAGGTAGCTGGCGTAGATGGCGTTGTTGACGACGCCGTACTCGTCAAGCTCGTCGTCGCGCACCTTCATCTCGACCTCGAAAAACATGTCCTTCCTGCGTGTGTTCTCGTGTGCACCACAGAAGATTACTCGTATTCAGTTATAAGGGAAGGGACAGGGACATGCATGCATGGTGGCTTCCAGCTGGAAAGTGGAAACCATGCAAGCCAGTAGCCAGGGAGGGATCCATCGAATGAAGCTAGCGAACCTGACAGTGACGGTGGCAAGCTGCTGGCTCGGTGCGGTGTGGCTAGGGAGAAAGTGTTGATCGAGCAGCTCGCGGCTGGTCTCGGTCTCGGGGGCGGCGACGGCAGCGACACCACGGAGCCGGCAGTACTTGGGCCGCGCAGCCGCCGCCGTGACCCTGCCGAGACGCGCCCGGCCGGTGCGCACCACCACGCGGTTGTGGTGGCCACCATGGGCGCTGGAGCTGAAGCTCACCATGCCGCCGCCGGCAGCGCGCAGCCGAGGGGAGGGCCCAGTGGCCTGATGATGAACGAGGCCGGCCATCTGCTGCTGCATTAATTGTGCGATTGCGCGAGGCCGAGAGCCAGTGGCGGGGCACGTACACGCGCACGTTCTTGGCTGATGATCGAGCTCTGCTGGATGCCTAGCTGCTTGGTGTGTGCAGTGTTGGATAGATGGATATATCGCAGTGATCGTTGATGCCAAAGCGTGGGCGTGGCGTCCTATATATACACACACAGGTACGCCCGTGATGGAGCAACGACACGACGACATGGCCAGAAATTTGCCGGCTGTTCAACTGTCCTAGCTCGTCGCGGGGGCCGGGGGGTGTAACGCCGAAAATAGTGTCCAATCCTGTGTGTGAGCGAGACACTGGGCTTTGCCATTTCTCATGCTCTAACTAATCCAACAATGGCATGCAGCAGCAAGTTTGGGCTACGTACGTGCTGACTGCTGCTGCACAGAACCATTGGATTGTACTACCTCGGAGTCGGGTTTTCGACCGTTTCAAGCAAGTACCTTGAGCTTGACAACGAAGGCGTGTATGAATCGAGGTCAAGTTGGAGGCGCGCGCGTGTCCCTTGACCTGTCCATGTCCATGCGTTTGGTAGGCGGCGCCGTCTGTGCCGTGGTGTTCCTGATCAGAGTGGATGGCGGGTGGGATCAGCTCGAAGTGGGTCCACGGAGTCATAGAGTGCTAAGGGATTAGCATTGCGTGCAGAAACCTGTGAATCTGTGATCCGTTAGGAATACTAATGATGAATGACAGCGGCCGGATAAACTGAAGTCAGTCGTTGTCCCATGGTGTTGAATTTTCAGTTTTGTTGCGGCGACGCCACACAAATTACCGGATACGAGTCCGTGCGTCCTTGAAAAGTTGCTGGAACACAACAGTCAAGGGACACGCGCGCACACTGCAGCGGCGACCACGCACACACACTGCAGCGGCGACCACGAAAATTTGACGCCTGTCCGCCTGTCAACTGTTACTGTTACTTCTATTTTACTTCTAAATAAAAACACTCTGCAAGTGCAACGTACGGCTAACCTCTATACGTCAAAACTAGCACGCAGAAAATCGCGCTACGTACGGGTTGTGACTTCTGGTGTGTGTTGTACGTACATAGTACAGACTACTGCAGTTCACCGTCTTGTTTCTTTGTGGAAGTACTCGTATTTGCATGGTAGCTTCTGACAGAAACTGTCTTTCTCACGATTTCTTTACCATGAGTATGAGATCGACTGCAGTCCTTTGCTTTGATCATCTCACCGTTTAAATGGACGAAAGAAAGAGCACTAAAGGACGACGTCCTTCTGTTTTGTAGGGGTATGAAACAAGCAGAGGCACTTCATTTGTTTTGCCCGGTTACATTCCAACACCACATTGTTAGATTGATCTCTAATTCTAACGGGACCCAACGGCCCAATTAGGCATTTGATTCGTGTCCTGATCAGGGGCGCCCAGCTCATCATGGCTGGAGGGCCCCTGTCACCCTGCGCTATAAAAAGATGTGGGGGCCGGCGGCTCTTATCACAAGGTTGACCTGAGCCAAGCTCCCCATCGACATCTAAACCCTAATACGATTAGAGAGGGGCGCAGCCAGTGACAGGAAGCCACCAGCCGCGCTACCCGCTCCATCGACGTCGACGTCTTCACCGCCCTCTTCACCGACCGTCGCTGCCCGTGCGCAGACATCACCAACGAACCTGATGGCGTCTCGCTGAACCTTCCCCCTCTGCGGTGTCAGGTTCAGCACCCTCTCCCTTCCATCTCTGTCTCTCTAGTTCTACATGCATTAGAATGTACTACGTTCTTTATCCCGAATAGAACCACTTACCCGGCTAGATCTATGGTCCTAGTGATTCAACAGTTGTAACATTGGTACCAGAGCCACGTTTTTTTCTAGGGTTTTTAGATCTAGAACGGGTAAACGGATTAGAATAGGAAGAAGGTTAGATCCAGTGCGGGTCTAATAAGAACAGAGGGTTCGGTTGAACCCTAACCCTAACTGGGTTAAGGAAAGGATTAAAAGAAGAGGGTTTCGGCCTTAAGAACGTAAGAGCCGAACCCTAAACCCATAAAAGTCTTCAACGGGGAAGAGAAACAGTAAAACCCTAACCCTAACTTCGATCCCCATCCCAAATTGGTTCAATCCGAGCACCAAAAGAGAACCAAATTCGAAGGGGAAGAAGGGGAAAGGGAGGCCTACCTCGCCGCTGCGCAGCGCTGCTGTCACGCCGACGCGCGGGGAAAAGAAGACCGAGCCGAGGGCGTTGCTCGCCGGGCTCTGGCCAAAGGGGCGCCGCAGCCAAGCCGCTCGACGGAGGCGCGCTCACCCGCGTGGGGAGCGCGCGCTCCGGCGAGGGGGCCGGTGACGGCGCCGAGTCGTCTGCTCACTTACGCACGCTCTCACTCGGTGGCTGCTGTTGCTGCGCTGAGGAAAGAAAGAAGAGAGCGCCGAAAAGAGAGAGAGAGAGCATAGAAGCGAATGAACGCTAGGGTTTCAAGGCGCCACTGCGGTCGGCGTTTCGTGGCCCAGTGAGCGTCTTGTGGCTCACATGCTTGGCTTTGCTTGAGCCCAGCCTGTGTTGTAGCACAGGTGCAGGCGTGCAGTGGGCAAGGGAGGAGGCAGGCCGGGCCGAATTCTTGCTCGGGCTGAATCCCTGTATGTACAGTATTCGAAATCTACTTGGTGGATTGACTCAGGTGCAACTGTTCATGTTGCTAATTCTTTATAGGGATTCCGTTCGACGAGGACTACAGAAAGAAGCGAAAGACACGTTAAAGTAGCAAATAGAGTCCGAGCAGAAGTTGAAGCTGTTGGTGATCTTTCTCTAGATCTTGCTGATGGTTTCAAACTTATACTTAGAGATGTTCTTTATGTTCCCTCGTTACAGAGAAACTTGATTAGTGTTTCATGCTTGGATAATGATGGATATGATTGCCATTTTAGAAATGGCAAATGTAAGATAACATTTAATAATGCATGTGTTGGTCTTGCTATCTTACAAAATGAGCTTTATCTGTTATCACTACGTGATGATGTGAATGTTGTATGCGATGATGGGAACGTTGCGTGTGACAATGTGAATGTATCATAAATCTGGATGGATGTAAAATGTAAAACGAAAGAGAGCTCACGATGCATTGTCGAAATTATGGCACTGTCGTTTAGGCCATATTTCGAGGGGGAGAATAAAAGACTAGTTAAGAATGATATTCTTCCTCCATTAGAGCTCTCAGATTTAGAACAATGCAGAGAATGCATTAAAGGAAAGTATGTAAAGAAAATTAAGAAAGATGTCAAACAAAGTGCAGGAATTCTATAGATTATTCACACAGACATCTGTGGTCCGTTTCCTGTAAAGAGTGTGGATGGTTATGATTCATTCATAACATTCACAGATGATTACTCCCGTTATGACTACATTTATCCAATCAAAGAAAGAACAGAAGCATTAGATAAATTTAAGATATTTAAGGCAGAAGTTAAAAACCAACACAATTTTAAGATTAAGATAGTTAGGTCCGACCGTGGGGGGGAGTACTACGGTCTGCATACCCCATATGGCCAAGTTTCTGCACCTTTTGTAAGGTTCTTATAGGATAATGGCATAGTAGCCCAGTATTCTACACCGGGCGAAGCTCAGCAGAATGGAGTAGTTGAAAGGCGCAATCGTACCCTGATGGATATGGTGCGTAGTATGATAAGTTACTCCACCTTACTGATGAGCATGTGGATGGATGCATTAAAAACCGCCATTCATATTCTCAATAGAGTACCAAGTAAGTCGGTGCCCAAAACACCGTATGAGTTGTGGACAGGAAGAGTACCCTCACTAAACCACTTAACGTGTATGGGAGAGTCCTGCTGAGGCTAAAGTATTTAACCCAAACATTGGAAAGTTAGATCCCAAAACAGTAAGTTGCTATTTCATTGGCTACCCAGAAAAGTCAAAACGTTTTCGTTTCTACTATCCAGGTGGACATACAGAGTTTATGGAAACGAGACACGCTGTCTTCCTAGAGGATGCAATGGTGAGAGGGAGCATGGTAGCTCGAGAAATTGACCTTGAAGAGAAGTGGGTGTATGCGCCCACTCCAATGATTCATGAGCTATTTTTCTCACTACCTGCTGTCGCTGTACCGATAATACAAGATACTGTGGTGCCAGCACTTGTTGTTATTCTGCCTGTAGCAACAATGAATGACGATGAGGAACCTATTCTTTAGTATCCTATAGAACCAATTGCCACACATGAGGAGGAGCAACAACAGCCCCAAACAAAAGATGTGCCAAATGTGGAGGCCCCTAAAAGGTCTCAAAGAGTTAGAAAATCAGTTATTCCTGCTGACTATGAAGTGTACAACACTGAGGAAATTCAAATGGATGATGATCCCACCTCATTTGAAGAAGCCATGAGAAGTGATCATTCATCGAAGTGGCTTGAGGCCATGGAAGATAAAATGAAATCTATGAATGCCAATAAAGTTTGGGATTTGAAAATAATTTCTAAAGGAGCCAAAACAGTAGGCTATAAATGGGTCTACAAAACAAAACTTGACTCTCAAGGGAATATAGAGAGATATAAAGCGTGACTTGTGGCAAAAGGCTTTATGCAAAGAGAATGGATTGATTACAATGAGATCTTTTCTTCAGTCTCATGTAAGGATTCCTTCAGAATCATAATGGTATTAGTGGCACATTATGATTTAGAATTACATTAGATGGATGTAAAGACGGCATTTCTCAACGGAAACTTGGAGGAAAATGTTTACATGGCACAACCGAAAGATTTTGTCATGGAAGAAAAAGAATGAATGGGATGCCGCCTAAAGAAATTCATTTATGGATTAAAACAAGCTTCAAGACAGTGATACTTAAAGTTTGATCAGACAATAAAAAAAATTGGGTTTAAAGATAATGTAGAGGACAATTGTGTCTATACAAAGTTTAAGAATGAAAAGTTCATCTTCCTTATCCTGTATGTGGATGATATCTTACTTGCTAGTAGTGATGTTAGTCTACTACTGGAGACAAAGAAGTTTTTGTCCTCAAAATTTGATATGAAAGATCTTGGTGAAGCTTCGTTCGTTCTAGGGATCAAGATTCACCGAGATAGAAGTAAAGGAGTATTAGGACTGTCACAAAAGGCATACATAGAGAAAATCTTAAAGAAATGTATGCATAAATATAGTCCCTCACATGCTCCTATAGTCAAGGGCGACAGATATGAGAATTTTCAATGCCCCAGGAACCAATATGAGACCGATCAAATGAAAGCGGCTCCATATGCTTCAGCTGTCGAAAGCTTGCAATATGCTCAAGTATGTACGCGCCCTGACTTGGCATTTATTACCGGGTTACTTAGCAGATTTCAGAGCAACTCGGAATAGAACACTGGAAATTAGTAAAGAAAGTCTTGCGTTATTTGCAAGAAACGAAAGGCCTCATGATGACGTATAGAAGATCTGATTCACTCCATATAGTGGGGTATTCAGATTCTAATTATGCGGGAGATGATAGAAAATCCACGTCTGGATATGTATTCACTCTCGCAGGGGGAGCTATTTCATGGAAAAGCTCAAAACAAACCGTCACTACATCGTCCACAATGTATGCCGAGTTTATAGCGTGTTATGAGGCAACGGGGCAGGTGAACTGGCTAAAGAAGTTCATACCCGGTTTGAAAGTGGTTGACGACATCTATAGACCACTTAAGTTATACTGCGATAATAATCCGACAGTACAGTATGCTCACAACAATAAATCAAGTGATGCTGTCAAACACATTGACATAAAGTATTATGTTGTAAAAGATAAAGTCCGGGATCAAGTCATAAGTCTTGAGCATATAAGTACAGTAAAGATGCTCGTGGATCCGCTTACAAAAGGCTTAGCACATAACGTGTTCAGAGAACATGTAGCCGGCATGGGTTTAAGGGAAAGCCTATAATTCCTGGACAAAAGAAGACCCAAAGATAAGTATCTATTTCAGAACAGAGTAGTGCGTTGTAGCTGTTAAATCTATCGGCAATGGACCGTGACGATGGGACATGCTCTATGCGCTAATCTGTAATAGAATGAACAAAAGTAAATGATATGAAAGTGAAAGATGGAAAGAGATCAAGGGGAGATTGTTAGATTGATCTCTAATCTTAACTGGACCCAACGACCCAGTTGGGTCTTTGATTCGCGCCCTGATCGGGGGCGCCCAGCCCACCATGGCTGGAGGGCCCCTGTCACCCTGCGCTATAAAAAGAGGTGGGGGCCGACGGCTCTTATCACGAGGTTGACCTGAGCCGAGCTCCCCATCGACATCTAAACCCTAATCCGATCAGAGAGGGCCAGTGACGGGAAGCCACCAGCCGTGCCACCCGCTCCATCGACGTCGACGTCTTCACCGCCCTCTTCACCGACCGTCGCTGCCCGTGCGCAGACATCACCAACGAACCTGATGGCGTCCGCTGAACATTCCCCTCTGTGGTGTCAGGTTCAGCACCCTCTCCCTTCCATCTTTGTCTCTCTAGTTCTACATGCATTAGTATGTACTACGTTCTTTATCTCGAATAAAACCACTGTACCGACTAGATCTATGGTCCTAGTGATTCAACAGTTGTAACACACATCTCATGCGTTTTGCATGTGCACTGCTGAAACCGTACCGTGCATACTGTGGGCGAGCGACGGGCGCAGACATATTTGATTTTGTGCTCCATATATGATATGAGATATGCCCGGCCTGTAGTATATGTTTATGTTTTTTCCCAAGACCATATTATTTTGTTTCGTGGGGTCATAATATAATTAATGATATAAAATCCAAGGATTAGGATATCATGCATCGGGATTGAAATCTGAAACAAGAAAGAAACAATTGGATCACTTCCATATACTTGTATCTATATCTTTTATAAAACTAATCCTTACTACAAGTTTTATCTCAACATGCAAGCTATCAACATCATCTTCCACTAACTATTCACGTCGTCATCTCTCACTAATAGCCATCCCATTCCACTAACTTCTAACCTCTTAATGCAGCCAATTTTGATAAAAGAGTGGATGCAAGAACACATGTAGACGATTTAATGCATATATCTCAACAAACACTATGTCTAAATGTATAGTAAAAGCAATATATTAAAAAAGCGAAAACATCTTATGATTTGAAACGTATGGAGTAGCATTTAATATCTACCACGCCAAAAGGTAAATTATAAGAATATATATTTCATAATATATATCTAATGAAACTTATTTGATACTTCAAATATTATTGCCATTTTTTGTACTAACTTAATCAAAATTAGGAAAGGTTTTATCTAGATAACTGAAAATTCCTAGTATTTTCGGAGGAAACGAGCATATCCAAGTATCAAGTATGGCATGAGTAACACGTTTGGCGTACGGCGGTACGGGACTTCCCTGTTGAGATCGAAAGAACAGCAGATCGTGGACTCTACTCCCTGGTCCATCCATACGGTCTAGTTTAGAATTAGAGGCAACACCAACCGATCTTCCTCGTTTCGTAGGGATAAAGTCCACCAATATCACGTATCTTGATTGTTTAATACGGAGTAGCGATGTATCGGAAGTTCGGAACTGGAATCTGAAATGGTAACTCTCAATATCCGAAGCCATACTATGTCCGTACGCCGTGTGGCCATATTTTCAGCACTACAGCTCCATGCCCGTCAGGTGTGGAGTATTTTTAACGAAAATGAGAGCTGCCTATTAGGGCATGTACAGGTAATTTCATATAAAGGCCTGATTGGATGCTCTTCTCTAAATTTTAGAGCTAAAATCTTCAAACATGTGGTCTAAAGTTAGTTTTAAACTTTAGTCCACTTCACATTAAAGTTTTAGCTAAAAAATTGAGCTAAAGTACTCTAAAGTTATAGAGCTCTAAAGTTTAGATAAATGAATCCAAATAAAGCTCTAAGTCACATACAACACTATGAATTGTCTAAAAACAGTCTAAAAAACATCCGGTTGTTAAATGGTATGTAGCATATATATAATAGGCGATATCGCTACAATGGAAAAAATATTATTTATAAGAAAATTCCTAGTGCTATATTTTTATTGTACATATTCTTAGAGTGAGGTGTGGGTGAAGAAATGAAACAAAGACACATAGTGTAAAGTTTTATTTTACAGTTTCATAGGTCTACATGTTTCAATATTGTTTGATGTTATGAAATGAAATGGTTATGATGAAGTTTCACTTAGTTTTCAACGTGTGGGCATGAAACAAAACACTCCCAGTGGAGTTTTACTTAGCTTCCAATGCATTGGAAATGGTGCGCGCTAGATTTCATTTAGAGGAAACTCATATCTTCTCTCTTCTCATAATTTATATGTCATATCATTATTTTTATTGATGTATCACCTTATTAAATGGGAATGAAACTCCTACTAGGACCGATCTAAGAGATTTCTCTCGTGTTCTCTGGCCGTTTGTTAATTACTAGACGATATCTTTCTACTCCTCTTTCCTTCCTTTCCACGTCAGATAAAATCATACATGGCACCTTTTTTAGATGCATGTATCACCCCACTATACACAATCTTATATTCCTAAGAAGTTAGATACAAATTGGGGGTATATAACCAGCAACAACAAAACACCTATCAGATTTGGAGTATTAGACTATAGATGGCACATTTAGTTAGGGGTAATTGAAAGGAGGGAATGCGAGTTTGGATTGGAGTATTGAACTATAGATGGCACTTTTGGTTGGTGGTAATTGAAAGGAGAAAATAAGAGTCTGGAGTTATGAGTTTAGAAACCTTTTGTTTATTTTGTTGGAGTGGGAGTTTTGGTGGAAAGAGGAAGGAGGGTTTAGAGGGCCAACTACGGGGAGGATCAAATTGATCCCCACCTGACCTTAATTCACTTTATCAACTCCCACCACTACTGATTCCCATATCCTTTCCCATGCAGTTGCCAAACACACTCTTGAAATTAGAAAAATCTTCTAGCTCCTGAGAACTATCATTGGAGAATCTTGTAGATTGTCAGACTACTCTCAGCTATACCTCTACAAAATCTCAGATATAGCATTGGAGAATCTTGTAGATCGTCAGATTACTCTCATCTATACCTGTACAAAATCTCAACTCTCTTTAGTCGTCATCCCGGAACAATGGCACAATGGCAGCATGACGACGATATGCAGAACGATATCTGGTCACTTCAGAGTGCCTAAGAGTGTTTACAGGGTTGATTCAAGCACCTGATCCGTCAGCACCTCATAATCCTACTTCCGACAATTTCCTTTCCTGTTCCTAATACAACATGCAGATGTACTAATCCAGAGTAAGAAGAGCTTTCTGTACCAAACAACGATTGCAGTAGCAGATCAAATGTTTCTGATGAACAGTTACAAAGAATGCAGATGGACTGTGCTCTTCTATGGCAGTGCTGCTCAGATGGAGATACATAGGTGGTTTGCGATAACACTGCAGGACCAAGCAGCCGCCAGTCTCCAAAACTAGATGCTACAATTATTGCGATTATTATCAGAGTCATTTAAGATCTGCTATATTCTTGGATGAGGAGCTGCTGCTTGGATGATATACATAATTTTGGAGATACGTCTACATCAGGATGGTACTCTTTCGTTCAGACAAACAGCCCTTGTCTTTGCCTCCAAAATTAGTTGCAGCTCTTATTCTGATTATTAACTCCGTCATTTGACCCTCTGCTGTCCTCGGATGAGAAGAGCTGCATCTTGGCCAACAGTTCACGAGGAATACGGGTAGGATAGTAGTCTTTGTTCAGGCAAACAGCTGTTGCCTTTGCTTCCAGAATTAGCTGCCATGAGAAACAGGTCGTCAAAAATTGTTATATATATGTATCTTTTGCTGTATACAGAGGTTGCACATAAATGCATAAAGTAACATGTAACTGTATGGGTTGACACAATCCCACACATAGTTCTGAACATAACATTGTAGCAGAAGAGCTTAAACTCACGCTGTTTCTTGGTTTTTCTGTTCTGAATGTGTAACTTTTTTTTTTGCGAGGATTCTGAATGTGTAACTTGGTGTTCTGCATACCTCGTGATTAGGCAGCTTCTCAATGATGTGCTCGAATATCATCCGTACGCCTTTGATGCCCACAAGCCTCACCTTAACAACAAACTTGTCGCCGCTCTGCCAGTCCAAAGAAAATAAAGGGGCAAATCAGAACCAAGAGAAACTGCTATGCAGTGACATGTTCAATCCATGGTTTCAAGCTGAAATAATTCCATCAGATTTCTTCAATTTTGGTTTCTGCTTGGCTTAGGAAAGGAGCACATTACCCTCAAAGGGGCAAAGTACTTTAGGTTTAGCTCAGAGAGGGCCAGCGACTCCCCACTGCGCGCCACTGCATCCGCACTGATGCCTACACTCTCAAGCACCTCGTGACGACCTGGTCAATTTCAAGGCATAGAATCAGATATGGGACCTCAATATGCTACCTAAACAAGAATTAAAGGAAAAAGTCTACATAACCCCCCCCTCCCCCAACCCAACTATTCAGGGTGGACTACTTCACCCCCCAAACTATAAAATCGGATTTTCTACCCCCTGAACTTTCCAAAACCGGTCAAATAATCCCCCCAAACGGTTTTGGACGGTGGTTTTACTACAGTGACGGTGGTTTTGTCTTTTTCTTTTTTATTTATTTCCGCTGAATCTTTGAAAAATCATAGTAAATCACAGAAAAATCATAAAATGGAAAATCTAATTTTGTTGGACTCCACATGAGTAGATCTACACAATGAACATATAATATGGTACGCTTTAGTACAAAGTTTTTGCTGTATCTTTAGATCTATACTTTTCTGTAATTAATATGGCACGGTGGGCTAATTATTGTATGCTTGAACTATAGTAAAAATTTCATACTTATTGGATCATGTATAACTTAGTTATACTGACTAATTATATTGGTGTTAACTAACACACCATGCTAGCTTCCGAGTTTGTACTATGGACAGAACTCACCATGTTGGCAGTAGCTAGCATAGACTGCATTGTTGACAACACCATACTGATCAAGTTCATAGTCACGCACCTTCATCTCCACTTCAAAAAACTTCTCCTCCAGCCTGACAATCAAAGGAATTAGCAATGTTTCAGCATCGACCATCCATGTGCATTTATAAAGTTCAATTTGGAGGAGTCCAATGTCTTGGGTATCACGATCATCCAGGCGTCCAAATTATCAACATTACAGAAGGAATCGGGGGTAAAAGGTTGTAGCCAAAAATGACAGAATGGCATAGCTAACGAGCAACACGCATAAGTCACATAACTGATATGAATTTGTGCACTACGAGATCGGCAAAATTAGTGGATCCCCTTCCCGAATAGCTACAAAATTCGCCACGGGTGATGCTCCCGAGCAAAGTGAGCAACAGCAGAGTGACTGCGACTACACTTGCTTCTATGCCGTGGACCAAGTAAATTCCAGTAAATAGTCCGACCAGATCGTATCTCAAGCTTTCCGATGAACCAACAAGTACAAAGAAGAAAAATCCAAGAAGTATAGAGGACAAAAGGGAGATTCGGAGAGACCTCAAGCCGGCTTGGGGGCTGGTGGATTGGGCGGAGACGGCGAGGGGGCGGCACGCGCGCCGGCCAGCCGCGGAGGCGAGCGGCGGCCGGCAAAGCGCCACGGCCCGGTGGACGGGCGGAGAGCTCCGGCCGACGGCTCCGCCGTGGATCGGCGGCAGCGTGGGGCGGGCGGTGGGCACGAGGCGCGCGAACTGGTGATGCATTGCGGCGAGCAGGCCGAGGGCCGGAGTGGGGCTTGCCAGCTTGACCAATGTACTAGTGGGCAGACAGCCTGCCAACGATAGTGGGCAGACAGCCTGCCAACGAACTAACCAAACTAGGAGCATTGATTTTGTCCAACGTCCAACAGTTCAACGGCATCTCCCGCACGGCCGCACCCGCGAAAAACCCGAACACAAATGCAAATCCACCGAATCCCTCAAACCCAACGGCGCGTCGGGGTTCCCGAGATAGCGCCGCCGCTACCTCCTCCTCCTCCGTCGGCGGCCTTGACCAAAAGTTGAGCACTCCTCCGTCGGGGTTCACGAGCGCTGATCCCCTAGCCAGCCCCCGTAGGTGCCCCAGTCTTTCCCCTTTTCTTCGATTCTCTGGAGTCTCGACTCCAGCCGAGACACCGCGTAACCCTATATGTGTCTTCCTCGCAGTGGCGACGGCGGGTGGTGGGAACTGGAACCCTGTGTTGGATTGATAGTACACTTGCACTGGTGCTGAAATACTGAAATCCGATTTCTACTTTACTGAATCCTTTCACGGGTAACACCGAATTCATGCTCTGGTGTTTCCGTATATGGGTACATGCAGAACATCCTTATTAGGTTTAATTCCATCCTTGAAATTTTATTTTTCAAAGATGTCTTTGCTTATTACATAAGGAAGTCGGAAGGCTACCTGAAAAGCTATAGTGTGATCCTTTGGTTGAAATGTTCCAGTTGTTTATAAATTGATCCTGAAAGGAACGTGATCCCTGATTCGAGATAATTGACACTGTGACCTTTATTTTCAGGCTGATGATTTTGGATTAGATAAGCCCGTGCTGGTATTGGGGATAGAACTTCCAGATGGGTCACGGTTCAGGACGAAGCACCTTTCCTCTGAACATAAGGGCAGGCAGCTCATGCCTGATGTGGCAGACAAGATGATCCGCTAACATGTGTTGAGATATATTGGTAATTAACTGAATTTTCATGTTCTGGTCTATGGATATATGCATCGATTCCTTACTAGTTTCTCATTTACAGTTTGTAGATGAAATATCTCCTAGAAGGGATCAAAGAAGCTTTTCTTGAACAGTTGAATTATCAATACTAGAATAGAAGTAATCCATGCAAAATAATTGACCCACAACCTTTATCTCCAGATAGATTCTATTAGCTAGGCTCTAGACATGCTTCTGCTTGCTAGTACTTTCGTTCAGTATATATGAGCAAGTGCAACTTTTTGAAGCGCATCTTTTCCTTTCTAAGTGTCATTTATGTTCGACTTTGGCGTTTTGTCTCTCTTATTGTGAATCCCTGTTACTATGTTGTTCTTTTTGGTATTAAGTATTCTGTGAATAACTAGTCACAGTAAGCTGTTGATACTTCCCCAAAATTGTGCAGGGCATGGTCGAGATACTGACACCACAAGGGGTTTTTTCCAAGATTTTGTTCAGAGCACTTAATGGAATTTGTTGAACGTTATCGGTGGGGTGGCGACAAATTAAACAAAGAAGAATATGAGCAGTATGAAAAACCACTTGACCTCATGGTAACCCTTACTGTGCTTTTATGGAAACTAGGCTCAGAATTTCTCCAAGATTGTCAGCATCATGCAAAAGATACAAGAATGTGGTGCGGTATAGTATACCCCTTCCTTGGGGTTGCTTCCTAGTGATACTGTTGCAGATATCTTTCCTGGTCTCTATCTGAATACCATGGGATAACATCATAACAGTAAGTCAGTGGCTATTTTCTGTTAGGTCCTCATCTGTGGCTGTTGTTCCTAACCTTAGCAACCAACTTGGACTTCTATCAAGTATTCAATCACCCTGTTCGCTGGTTGGTGCTGGTGCTGGTTTTCTGTGAGAGGAAAACACTGTTGGCTGGTTGAATAAGTTTGGCTGAAACCAACAAACAAACAGGGTGAATAACTATGGTTCAGATAGGGTGGGTTTTTGAAAATTTGCTTATCTTGTACACAGAGGGGAAAAAACTGAGACTTTTTTACATGAATCAGGTTGTTAGGAAATAATCCAGTAGATCCATTTGTTAGGCATGAATCAGGATAGGTTAGGAAGTAGGGGATCATGTCATGTCTATAAGTCTATAACATCCCATCTATAGAATGGCTTGAGAGACAAGTTTAATCTCCTCTACAAATAGCTGCCCCCTGTACTCTTTATGATTCAACCAGATAGGAACCCCCCCCCCCCCTCTCCCTTCTACCTTTGTAGCTCTCTGTCTCTCCATCTCCTCCGCCCTCCCTCCCTCTCCCATGGTACTGTTCTCGCAAACAGCACCTCTGCCCCTTCTCTCCTCCAACAAATCTAAGCACATAAGAAAGAGAGATGACACTATAGATTCCATACTTGTGAGGAAATATCATTGGTTAATGGAAGTGAAGGGTTGCTGCCAACTTCTCCGGGAGTTAAATATGTTGGATGCTGATCTCCAAGGGTTGATTTAAACCCGTCACCAGTCCACGTTCGAAGCCTGCCACGTCTTCTTAAGGCTAAGTGTGGGGGAGTTCGCCCCAGTGGCACACTTGGATTTCTATGATGAGCATTCAAACATTGGAGAGGCACAAAGAGTTCATGAAAATATGTGGAATTTACAATAGAAAAAAACCATAAATATATTACAAACCTTTCATACAAAATACTAGTTCAAATAGCTATGAGAAACATTGAATATCTAGTACAACTTAACTCTGATCTTGGTTCTTGGTTTTATAAATCTTTAATCTTTATTTTCTACGTTTCAAAATAAAATAAAAAACAAGTGATATCTTTCTTTCCTTTTGCGAGGAACAAGAGCTATCTTTCATTGGCATTAATCATTCACCACTAAATATACCATTCAACAATTTCTTTTAACCTGAAACAACTAGCTTCCTTGCTTCCTGTTATGCCGATCACATCCCGCACAGCTCTTTCTCTTGAATGGTTGTCTGGCTGCAACGTTTGCCCATGGCTGATGACGTAGTGAGGAGGTGAAAGAATGGAGCTTTGAGCTGCCTAGGCCATGGTTGGGTGGACATTGCATGAGATGTAGGGTATGAAAAAAGAACAAAATGAGACGATAGAAACCTGTTTTGAGATGGAGATCAGAGAGGCTCGATATGATATAAAAAAGGGCAGACCCAGTGCCGGAGGCTCCCACATGAGTGGGGTCTGGGGAAGGGAAAAACCGAGGCAAGCCTCCCCCCCCCCGCAAAATCTGCGGAGAGGCTCGATATGATATACTTGTACATTTATCTAACACACATATATTATATATTTTATTTTGCGCCAAAATATTTGAGCAATAAACTAAAATGCCTCTTTTTCTGATAATGAACTAAAATGCCCTTGAATGTTGAATCAAGTCACAAGGCAGGTCTGCACTTGCTGTTGCTGCTTCCCCCTTCCCCCTCCCCCTGCAGTCTACTTTTTATATATAAAAAAGCGAAGGGTTGGTTACTATAATTGACATCTTCAAATAAATCATCATGCTAACCATGGAAAATACTTCAAATTTGTGTGGAATGTAGTTGGTGAAGCTCGGAATTTTGAATGTGGTGCTTACTATGGCATGCCTTCGATTCTTTTGCCATCCTTTATATCTGAGAACGATAGGTATTTACTCTTGGAATTGCAAACTATGGACGTGATTGGTTTCATGATTTTGTTTAGATTACCTGCTCCCTCATTTTCCTACTGAATAAAAAGTTATGGTATAAGTTAGGGATGGACCAACACATTCCATTATTTATACCGTCGACCATACAAATTTGCTTGGTTTGGACTTTGGAGTCAGAATTGATTGGCAAAAGCAAAAGTGTTAGGTTCAGAGTTAGAATGGCCATACATATTACTCAACCTGTGAGTCGATTGCATGATTTCATCCTGCAAATAAAACTTAACTTCCAATTCCATGGTTTGCATACAGCAGCATACTGTGATGGGTAAAGCTTTGTGTTCATACTCCTTTGTAGATTCGAACATAATGGAACAGTTTGAATTGTACAGAAGTATAACAAACTCACTGCTCACTGTCTAGTTTACACTGGTATACATGAGGAAGTTTGGAAACTAATAATCTAATATAATCTTGTATCGAATGGTGCTTCACTTTGTATAGACGAAACGAATCTTGAATTTGACTTCTGTGCTACTGGATCACTATACATATATAATAGCTTGTATAAAATGATGTTCTATTCTGTGTTTGTGCTGTACGAATAAATCTGGTTTGCTGTAATCGATCTGTCCCGTGACTCTTGAGTGTGTTTTTTTTTTCAGACATCAGGTGTGAGCCAATGGTATCCGTTGACGAAGCTCTTGCCGAGGAAAGGGCGGGCGGCGAAGTAGTCGAGCTCCCGCGCCCACGACACGCCGTGCACGGCGTCGACGCCGGGGCCCCAGTTCCTGTACATCCCGAAGAACGCCGTCCTGCGCGCCGGTGAAGATGTAATAACAGTCACAGACGATGTTAGCCGGGGAGCTGAAAGGCAGGCAGGCTCAAATATTGCCGCACTGCACGGTATGTAACTGGTGTGAAGTGCTGAACGTTACATGCTCTTGTTGCTGGTGTGATCCCAGTCATCCCAGCCGCCGGGCGCGATGACGCTGTCGAAGTAGGTGTAGGCGTAGACGATGCGCGAGTACTGGCCCATGGCTCGCCCCACGTAGAGCCTCCCCGTGCCGGTCACCCGGCAGTTGACGAAGGCGAAGCCCGTGCGCTCGCACGGGTCGTGCCGCCCGTGCGCCGCCACCGAGCCGAACCGCTGCGCCGTCGAGTGCAGCTCGCAGTCCTGCATGCGCGCGTTTTCATATTTATTTCACGGCGTCGTCAGTATAGAATCATCAGCAGGTTGCAGTATATATGCGTGCGTGTGTGCCGGCGTGAGCGCACGTACGCGGTACGCACCTTGTAGAGGGAGCGGGCGTTGCCGAAGACGAAGTCGATGGAGCCCTCGATGTAGCAGTCGCGGAAGTAGTGCCGGCCGGCGTCGTCGCACAGCGTGTCCTGCGCGCCGTAGAACCCGCAGCCGAAGAAGAAGGCCTTGTCGCCGGAGATGCGGAACGCCACCGCCTGCCCCCCTTGCGTGCCGGGCATTGGTGCCGGAGCTGTGTTCTGCCAAAGACGACAGTGGAAAGGGAAGTGTGTCAGCTAGATGCTTGCTTGCATGGACCAACCGAAATCGACCAGAAAATGCGTTGCTCGTCCAGGCTGCCTGTCGCCGCCGAAGCCATCCAGTCAACCTGCTCCAAGCACAACTTCAACAAATACAGGGCACCCAGTAACATCGAACTTGCTTATTGTGTAAACAGTAAACAACATGCGGATCGATCGGATTCAAAAATTTCGAAAGGAAAGAGAGCTAGCTAGCTAGGATACACACAGAGACGGCAGCTAGCGTTTACAAAGTCCAGACTTGTGACTCTGAGGTTTTGTCACTTTGCCTGCCCCTGCACCGTGTCTGCCGCCGCTGCATGATGCACCAGGCCATAGCCACAGTCCTTTTTCCCTGTGCGTCTTGTGACCTCGCGTACGAATGTACGCTCGGGCCTTTCGTTCATCATCATGGACCACTGGGTCTGGGCAATGCATGCAAACGGATGCTGCTCACCTTGAAGCTGATGTTCTTAGCGTTGAAATATTTAGCGAGAATGGTTACTGAGGCGGTGTTGTAGGTGCGGAGCGGCTGCCCGTCGGGGCCGCGGTCGCTGGCCCGGTCGTGCCACTCCACCACCGTCACGTCGCGCCCGGCGCCCTGGAACGTCATGTACGGCTTCGACGCCGGCACCACCACCTTCTCTCTGCACGCACGCACATGCACACCCCGGCCGGCCCGTCAGGAAATGAACGAAGCTCGATCAGCCTCAGCGAATGAAAAGGGCCAGAGCTAGATAGCTAGCAAACTTACATGTACGTGCCGGCGTTGATCTGCATGATGACGCGCATGGTGTTGCCCTCCGGCACCGAGTCGACGGCCTGCTGGATGGACACGAAGTCGCCGGCGCCGCTCGCGTCTACCACGATCTTCCGCACGCCCACCGGGTGCTTGTACCGGTGGCCGGAGTGCCTTGTGTACTCGCACTTCGTCGCTGCCTGCTGGCTCGCGATCGGCGGCAGCAGGCTCGAGATGGTGACCAGCACCAACAAGAGGATGCGAGCCATACTGCTTCGCGAAACTAGCGCGGATTATTCTAGCCTCGTTGCAACAATGTCCGTAAGTAGCTTGCTAGTGATGATGAGGCTCCTTTGGTATGCGCGTGGCCTTAGCTTGAATGTGTCTTGTCAACCTATCTATCACTCTTCTATCAGTCTAGCTTTCTCTCACCCTCTCCCTCTCCCTCTCTCTTCACATTCACAACATATGCTGAGACGACGGAGAGCGAGGCGAGGTAGCTACCACACGGGCGAGATGCCGGGCGCGGCATATATAGAGGTGTGAGTGAGGAGCGAGGCCAGCAGAATGTACCAACGGAAATAATGGAGTCGACGAGAGACGCGGGAACGCTCCAAATGCTAGCAACCCGGCCTGCTGACGGCGGCGTGTGTGTTTTGGAACTTCTTGCCTTTGGTCGGATGCCAACGGTCATGCTTTCTCTTAAGTTTCACCCTTGCTAGCTAGCTAGCTAGCTAGGTTAATTAACTAGTAGCTAATAATAGAATGTACTCCCAAATCAGCATACACTCGACTAGCTTAGCTACTGGTTATTATGAGTGCCCAGCAGCTTCTACGGGACCGAAAATCTTCTAACATTATACTCGTACCATAATCTATCGGGTTGTCACGTTGACCGCAATGGAAGCAGCTTCCTTTGCTTTTTACTGGTGTCCTGCAGTACTAAACAAGTGCTCACTACCTGAAAAAAACAGTTTGTAGCAATGGGGCTTTTTTTTAGGACGGCTGGTATTGGAACAGCCCTCACGGTGGCGTGCTCGGGCGTGTTTCGGCCAAGACAAAGCCACCCACCCTACAAATAAGCACGATGAGAGCGGCTAATGTCTGAGCCGCCCTACAAATGAGTCGATTTGTAGGTAATTTGGTATGTAGAGGCGTCTACAAATAGGGCGGTGAATCACCCAACGAATACACCGTGCGATCGATCCTCTTCTATACCAATCTACCTGCTCACAATATAAAAGCAAATCGGCGCCGACAGGTGGGGCCCACCGGCTCTCGCTCAGCCACTTGCCTCCCCGTCCCGAACCCCAACCTGCACGCACGCACGCCTTTGCCGCTGCCTCCCCGTGCACCGCGCCCTCCTCCTCCCTGGCCAGCAACCACCGCGGCGCCACGCCCTCCTTCCCCCAGCAGCAGCCACCGCCGCGTGCCCTCCGCCTCCTTCTCCGGGTCCTCGCGGGCTTCTCCCTCCTGCATGCTCGCTCGGCGCTGAAACAGGCCGCGCTTCCTCCCCCACCCACCCCGGCGGCAGCAGCCATGCCATGACAGGACCCGACACTCGTCACTACTGGAGCACGACCGATGCGGCGACGGGGACAGAGGAGAAGAACGGATGTGTCCAAGTGGAGATCGACCCTCCCTGCACAGCGGCCACTGCCGTCCCTCCACGACTAGGTCAAATGGATCCGTGCTCTCTCTGCCTTTTCCCTTGCCTCCCTTCACGATGAAGACCTACTCTGATTCGATGGTCCCGACGAGGCAAGGTGTAGGTCGGATGCAGCATAAAGAAGGTCAAAGGCGCATGGCTGCGCTATCAGGTCTACTCGATTTGCTTCTCTTTTTGTTTATAATTTTGCCATCTTCCATGGATTCGTGGCCCCGATCCATCGGGTGTTATCGATCTGGTGCATTCGGCTGGCCATAGCTCGATTCATGTTCGACGAAATGCCCGCACAAATAGTTGGTTGGCGATGGTGTACTATGCCTTTGACTTTGTGGATTTTGTCTAGCTAATTGAACCTTCAAATCAGTCTTATTTTGGCCCAAACTTCAGGAACATGACTAATTTATATGCGGGGATTTGCCAAATGCTAAGATAATTGAACCTTCAAATTAGTCCTATCAGTTTGACTCTATGGTTGTTTATTAATCCTGACTTGTACTTTTTGAATATGTATTGGCTTTGCACTTATTCTTAGATCATTATTATGGCGCTACTGCAGATTTTGTGGTAGCACCTCCGTTCAGTTACATCGATCAGGTGAAGAATTCATTAACTGATTATATTGAGGTGCCTGCTCTAAAATGCGTGGATGGGAAAAGGATGAGCCTACACTAGAGAAATCAGGTTCGTATTGGTTAACTTTAGTTGAATTTTACTTTCCTTGAAAAAAATCTGCTATATGCCTTCACGTGCCTTAAGACAATGAAATCGCCTTTGAGATCCATGACCATGATTATAGTTCCATGCTATATGTCTTGTGACTATTGTACAACACTTCAATTTATCTTGCCAAGAAAAAAGGAAATCCATGCTATATGTCTTGTGACTAAATTGTACAACACTTCTTTAACAAAAGCTTTTTTTTCATTGTTGGACTGACACCTCCATTCTTTAAAAAATGAGGCTGTTTCTCTATTTGCATAGGTGCCATTTTTTAGTGGTATTGTAGAACACAAATATCCATAAGTTGTCATGAGCCTAGGTTGTTAATGATCGAATTATGTAGCTTTCACTAACTCTGCTCTTATTACTACAAGAACTAACTCTAGAACGTCATTGGTGGTTAGCATGTTCCTGAAGGGCCATGCTTCATAACTGACCTTTCCAGTATTCTGTTTTTCAGGTTGCTTGAAGCCTTCAAGACTAGAGCAAAATGGTTTCGCTAAATGCTCCGCTGATGATACAGTTCATTATGTATTCTTCTCTCTGCAGGTATTATGAGAAATTACTCCTTCCTCTTCTTAGTTGCACAATTGCATACCTGTATCTGCCATCTATAATCAAGTAATTGCATTTCCCCCCTTGCTCATAATGACACATGTGCTACATTTCTACCAATTTAATATATATAATTTAAGTCCTATTCTGAAAAAAAGTGTGAACTCAAGTTCCATTCTGAAAAAATCTATCAATTAACCTAACTAGCCCAAACTTCGAGGAACATGTAGGTACCTAAGCAACATGTGCTTGCACTGCAAATTCAAGCTCACTCAAAGTATTGGTTCCTAAGCAACATGTGCTTGCACTGCAAGTTCTAGCTTCTTTTCTGAATAGGGCATTTCACATGTTCTTTTTATTAGAAAATTACTAGGGGTATAAATGTGATCAAAATCTCAGGTCTTCACCATACAAACTACTGTATGTTTGCCTAATAGACTTGACCTCCACCTGACTGTTTCTGCTCTTTTTAGATGGGCCAACAAGGAGCATACAACCAAGGAATAGGTTATATGCAACCTCAGGTGATCGACAAACTTGAGCATGTTAACTAATAAGCCTCTTCAATAAGCCAGTGACAAAACATCTCACTTATTTAAAGCATGTTAACTTGACAAAACATCTCACTTGTCAAAATAGATCAAATTATGATGTGTGACCAACAATGATGTGGATGATGATTTGTAAAAACAATATGGGCATGTAGGTCCTAAGTCAACCAGTCGACACTAATTAGAGAGGTCTGTGCACATATTTGAGTATGAGTTAATTCTTTTTAATGTCCCAGGGTTGTGTTTGTCTGAGTGTCAATGTGGATGGCAATAGCTGCACGATTTCTGCTGGTGCTTTGAATGGTTTACTAAACAGTATTTAGAATATCCAATGTGACACTTTCTTGATTTTCTCTTAAGCTGTAAATTCTCTGTCTTAATTTGACAGCACTTTTATGGAGCTTTTGTGATTGATAATTCATTTCTTAATTTGTGTGCCTATAAACCTATCATTATAATCTAGCCTTGTCTTATTAGCATTTAGATTTAGATTTAAAATAGATACAAGGAACATGTAGTCATCAACTAATTATCAAGGAACCTATAGTGAATTTGGCTTGCCTAACTATTTCTGTTTTCTGGATACAGGCATTAGATTACTGTCATTCACAAGGTATTATGCATCAAGATGTGAAGCCCTGCAATGTTATGATAGATCATGAGCTTCGGAAACTCCGGCTGATAGATTGGGGGCATTGCTGAATTCTTGTGAATTGGACTTGTAATGGTAGTTTATATAATGCTTTTGTGATTGTGGTCAGATTTGAATTATGTGTGTGTGTGTGTGCGCGCGTGTGTGTGTTTTCTGATCGAATTTGAATTGTAAATTCAAATTTTTTTAGTGGAAAAATGTACTGTAGGGGCGGTTCTAGATTGAACCGCCCCTACAAACAGGTATTATAGGGGCGGCTGATACTATATCCACCCCTACAAATCGATTTTGTAGCGGCGGCTGGTGTTACCAGCCGCCCCAAAAAATCGATTTGTAGGGGCGACTGATAACACCAGCCGCCTCTAAAAATCGATTTATAAGGACGGTCTGGGAACCGCCCCTACAAATATATGATTTATAGAGACGGTATAATAGGAATGGCTGGCTGAGCCGTCTCTACATAGCCTTGTCAGACGCTCCTACTAATCGTGTCTGTGGTAGTGGTTGCTAGGTAAATATAATTCTTGCATGCGACCACCCCTCGCAACTTAAGAGACTTATCACTTCAGAACTGCATAGTACCATATACATGTAGTACCATATACGTGCCAGCAACCTGCAAATCCTGTATGCAACGTAGAAACCGTGCAGTGCATGAAAATATGTGTGTGTGACAAATCAGCTTTACCAAATCCCTAGACGATAAATGGTCCAGATCGACGGTGGGGGCCCCCTCCGAAAAGGGTAGATCGGATGGAGACACAAGCATACAGGTAGCGTGCATGCAACAGTGCAAAGGCAGCAGAGACACACCCCATGCACTGCGCACGCCGCGAGTGGGAACAAAAAGTCACTGCAGCGTCCCGCCCGATTTGTCACTCCAGAGGCCCGAGAGACGCCACCGCAAGGCACGAGATAGAACGGTCCGAACGCCCCTGCCACCTTCCTCTGTAGGAGTAGTACCGATCACAGGGCAGCTCGCATGCAGCCAGAGCATACACTACAAAGAGCTGCACTAATCCACCCCTCAGAACTAGACACTGATCAGAGTAAACTAATCCACGTCGAGAACCTTAAACAACAGCAACGATCCAAGAACGAACGTACACCCGCATGCCGCGC